TTTTAAATACCTTGTAACACACATGCAGTTTCGGGCAGCTTGTATTAAAATCTACTGAACTGTTACAGATTCTGATTAAAATTTTGTCTTTTCCTCTGGTTTAATGTTAATGCATACAAATAATGGCCATACTATAGGTCAGCTACAATTACATTCACATTTTCACATTGTCTAAAACTGAGCTACTCAGTTGATCATGATGTGTTTTCTGAGCTATCATGAGTTCAAGTTATCCATCTGCTATGCATTTTGTTTTTCTCATGCATTAGTAAATTATGATCACCCATAAAGAGGGCTCATCGAAAGACTAGGCAGTCCTGACCTTAAAATGTAGGTTGATTACATTAAGCATTAATGAAATACCTAAGCTTATACAACTGTCATCTCATTATGTGACACACTGAAAATTAATCTATTTTGTCTCATACAAACTGAGGCTACTGGCGAATTAAAAAAACTGAAGTTTTAGATTAACTTCTACAAACACTGTTTATAACTAAAATATACATTAAAATGCTCTTTATGTGCCAAATCTCAATTCACAGTAATTAAAAAAATGAACAAAGTAACACAAATTTTTAATCAATAAAAAGTAGCAGCATCAGAGTGATTTAACTCTCCCTGGTTTGTATTTTAAATGGATTACATGCAAGAAATTTTGTCCTGTTAATTATTAATACGGAAATAAAATTTTTAAACCACAGTAACTTACAAGCTGAAATCAGAGTTAAAGGCACAGTTTAATTTATTCGAATAAATTTTCAATACCACCATACTCAGAATTATTTTTCAGTTTCTAATTTAAGGCATGTATTCACGAACAAAATTATTGATTTAGCTGAAAGATTTGCATGTCAACTTAAATAACAAGCAAAATTTTATCTATGTTGGCATTAATAATAAATGAAACTAAAAATTTTACAGAATTTATATTTTTAAAAATGTAGACTACTGTTCTTGTCTCTGGAAATTCCTCGAGCATTTTTAGCTATTATTAATGCTTCATAACAGCAGTTTTTAGACAATTTTTTAAAATTAAATAAGAGAGTAAAAAAATTAAAATAGCATTTATTAACTTGAAAATAAGACCCCACTGAATCGCAACATTATTTAGATAATACATTTTAGGATAAATTTTAAGAAATAAAAATGTAGATGAATATTCGATGTGAGCATGGTTCTGATTAGAATGAAAAGCAGACAACCTAATTAGATACAATATTTTGTCATGGTACAGAAAGCAAAATTAGGAAAAATTAATGACACAATATTTGTTTCCAAGTACACCAGTAATTGGGTTCAACAGATGCAAGCCTAAACTGAAATATGTTCTCATAATCGATGGGAGTTATGCAATTCATACAAGCTGTAATTACCTGTGCACTTTGTATAGTATTTAAACACCAGAATTATTCTGTACAGTATGATAACTTAATTCCATTCTCTCATTGAGCAATTTCATTAATTAAAATACTTGATTATAAAGGCCATATAAATTTTTAGGACACAATACAGCAAAAAATTGGGTGTCTTATTTTCAAGTAAATAAGATACGTATGCATGCACAATAATCCCCTCAGTTATGTAAATAATGTAATCTTTAAATAAGATTAATTTTGAGCAAGTTCATAAATTCTTGAAGTACAGCTTTGTAAGATACTGCAAAATTTTTCATTTTCTCTCTCCTTTTGAACTAAACCTCCATCTTAGATTACAACACATTTTACTTTCCTAGCTTACTTGGTTTCCGCTAGCATGTTATGGCTCATTTCTCGTCATCTATTCTTTATGATGTAAACTTTCAAAAGTGAGAGGAGCAGATTGTGACATGATAATATGTGAATCAGAATATGCATTCCACGAATTGTTTTATTGGGCAATTAATTATGTGGTATCATCTATGGACATCTACATTTGTCCACAGGTTTCCTCCATCAGCTATGTAATTTACACCAGCATCATCAGAAATGATTAAAAAATAGTTTGTATACACATCCTAAATTATTAAATTAAAATAAAAAACAACCTGTAAGATACTATAGTCTTATGTGTGCCTTTTCACCAATGAGGACTTTTTTCCTTCTATCTATGTAATAAACTTCTTCAATCTGTTGTATACATACATATATAAACTAGACATAAATTATAAAATATATACTGAAGACCGAGTCATGAAGATGGAGATGTAGGTAGCACTTCACAAAAAGAGATCAATATTTTTTTTTTCCCCAGTAGCTTTAGATTGTGGGATCATATCCCTTTTATTTACTACTTCATCAGTGACTTAAATGCTGTATATATATGCATACTTTTTGAATCATTCAAACAATTGAACACTAGGTTTAAATGTACTTTCTGCGTCTACGATGCCAGTCTCCTTTTGCATATCTTAAACAAACCTAGCCCCCTTCTCAATAAATGCAAATTCAACAGTATTTACTTCTATATCACATCCGAGATCCAATGAGACAACAATTTCTATATCTGTGGAATCAGTCCCACACTCATATTGGTAATGATTGTGCACTTCAATGTTACTGCATCTTTTCCACTTTCAACAAAGAAAACTTCCGGCTTTACTACCATATTCACTGCAGAAATATAAAATTTTATCCAAAATTATTATTTATTTAAATATTAAATTTATTAATTTTCTCTTTGTAAATAATTTTTAACATTTCTTTTAAAGAAACTACAGAATTTTGCTAGATTTTAGATCTTTTTATATTTATGTCCATGCATTGGTTCTGCATTTTGAACCCATTGTAAGGACAGATAAACAATGGACACTAAGCACATTAAAAATTGACTAATGTTGCATGGATATTACCTGAATGTGAGAAGTGTGGGTAGTGAAGGGAACCATTAATGAAATCCTAATTTCTAATTTATTTAAGAATATTACAGTTTTTGTGCACTTAAAAGTTTCTTACATTCTCCTTTATCAAACTTACATTTACAAACATTTGAAGTAGTCTACTTTTGGAAGCACTTCCGCAGAGAACCCGGTAAATGTAAACATCGCCAACTTTGGCGATAATAGTTCTAACTTGGTAACCCTTCGGATTTATCCCATTCGCTTGTTCGAAGTTTGCAACCATTCCTCTTGCGTTTATTTTGTTGAATTAAGACTGTCGTTGTTCGCATTTGCAGATTTATATTATTCTTCTCTTATTTATTATTATTTTTTCTGAATTTTTTAACAACGAATAGTTAGAAATATTTTCGTAGATAGATGCCGGTTCTCGGTTCGGAATGAAAGGAGGGGTGAATGCTAATTTGTAACACGGCTGTTCACGTTGTGTTCTTAATTATTAATAGCTCTAAGAACCATGAGGTTTCCAAAGTCTAAAATAATTTGTTTTCGTAGACCGCAAAAATGTGCATGTGCGCTTTAACTAATTAAGTAATGCTTTTATTTTTATTATTGGTTATTGTCATCTTATGAGAATAAAGCAATTTTTATGGCGTAAAATTTTAACAAGATAATATATTGTTAATGCTTTTTTAACAATAACCTTTCAGAGGATGGCAGGTGTGGCATAAATAGATGATTAAATTGAAATAAAAAATATTACTTGATTATCTAAGGTGACAGAATAGTTTGATGCATCACCATGGTCATCAAAAATTAGCAAACAACTGCTGGTGTAAGGAATATATTGTTTTCTGTGTTAACTGGAATTTAAGACAAATTTTTTTCGTACATCACGTTTAACCGGTTAATTTCAGTATATTAATACTAATTTATATTTTTTAAATGAATTTTTATTTCTGTTATAAATGCTTATATATTGTCTTATGCTTAATAATATATTCTTTTCTGTGCTAACTTGAATTTAATACAAATTTATTTTCGTATATCACGTTTAACCCTTTAGTTTTACATCTACATGCATATTATCTGTGAATTTTTACTACTATATGCTTAATATATTGTTTTATCTGCTAACTTGAATTTACATGCACTAAAAATCACGTTTACGGCTCGGCTCATCGTCGATGAACCGCGAGCTTGGCGAGTAAGAATGCAATGGCGCCAACGGGTTCTTTCCCGAAGCGCCAAGGGGTTCTCTGCGGATGAAAACCCCTACTTTTTTTTTTTTTTTTTGTTTGTGTGTGTCCAAGTTTAATACATCTGTATTTCGCTTGTTTCTACTTGTTTACAAAAAAAATTACATCAAATTGAATTACAGTTACTTACATAAAAGCCTGCACTGAAACATGTTTGTATGGAATGTTTAAATGTGTCTGCAATCATTCAATATACATTAAGAGACTAAAAGCCATAGCATAAAAATTATTTGTTTAGAAATTTTCCCTAAAATTACTTATAATCACACTATAATTATAAAACGAATAAATATTCTTCTTCAAACCAAACACTTCTAGAATGAGTCATTATGCTTATCACACATGTCATGAAGGTTTTGAAACTTTTTTTTACATAATTAACACTTAAATTATTAATTGTATGCTTATTACACAGACAAGATCTTTTATTCACCTCCTCTCTGACAAAAATTGTATTTTAAAATTCAAAAAGCACAAAACAAAACTTAATGCTGTAATATTAACTTAACTTTTGGGTTGAATTTTACACATACTTGAAAAAACGACTTTCTGCTATTTAATACGTATACATTTACTAACAAAAATATTTAAAACACTACATAATAATTTAAGGGTTTTTTTAACATAACGTTATAAGTATTATTTTTGGCAGCGCTAAGATTAATTAAAAAACAAGACTTTTTCATCCCATACGAATCTGAATTATTTTAACGCATTCCACATACATAGACACATTGACTGATACTAAAAAAATAAAATAATAATTTAAAAAAAAAACAGCATTACATATGACTATGAAGTTTGATTTAGAGCATGAAAGGTGGCAACAAAATATATTTTTAAGAAAATATAATTCTAATAAAAACGTCCAATGCGCATGCGCAGAGCGCAGCCATATTGATTTGGTTAGCTAAACATGATCTTACCTTGCTTCGAAAGCTTCGAAGAGCAGTGGGTCTAAGATGTTTTCTTCCGGTTCCCATGTGTTATACCTGCGTAATAAAATATCCATAAGTGCGTTATTCCATACTGCGTATTACACATTTACAGCAGTAATCGATGCTGTCACCACAAATTTAATCCACAAATAATACATACTTTTGACTCCAGCCATGCCATTTTACGAAGTATTCAACACGGCCCTAAAATATAAAATTAAAAATATAAACACTTTGGTATTGATGGTATTACCGCAAATGGTTCAGCAAGGTCATGGATAAAACACGTCAAACAAAAAAACCATAATCCGCAAAATGTAAACATAGACCATCCGGTATTTTGTTTACCTTCCGTATTCGTTTTTTCTGTATGCACTCTGCATAGAAAACTCGTCCGTCAACTGATGACATATCCATATCCGTGTTCATATCAGATACCAGGATTAGAAGGACACTGTCTTATTCCATGCGAAACATTAGAAATACCACTACGTACAAGCGACAGCGGCGATCGCTGACATGCGGCATCAGGTACCAACAGCTCGCTTGCAGATGTTGCACCTAAATGAGCGTTTATGATTCAAGTTCTATGGTTGCCAGTGCAGAAAAAAAAATGATCGCCAAAATTAGCATTTGGCGATGAATGTGGTGAGTGCCAAGCCCAGTGCGTGTTCAGGAGTTGCAAGAAGCGTAGTAAAGTAAAATACTGTCAAATGTTATTAATCTCAATTCCCCCCTTCTTATGATTATGGAGAAATTCTATGCAATATTCATTTGGTAGGCTACTTGTGAGGTATTTTACTGTTTAAACGTTTTCTAGTAGCAGTATGTTGAAAAATATGCTGCATTGGTTTTAGAATAGAGTTTTTGTAATGAAATCGCAAGTTTGGATTAAATCATTCATTCTTCCGTTAATTTTTGAAGGTGGCAGGGGGAGTGCATTCCTATGTACTTTCTTTTTTGATTATTAAGCAGGCCATAATTTAGATAAATATTTATTACTTCTTTTTTGTTATATTTTCATCTTGGACCATGGAGTTTGGTTGTACGAACTTCTTGTCCCGAGATGTTTTACCCGAGCTCAGGATGTTTTCGCTGGAATATTCGCTGTGCGAGGTTTCTTAAAAGCACTTTCGGCAAAGAATTTTGCTTTCGGTGCTCGTCCACATATATACGTGTACTAATACTAAAATTTCACTGTTTTTTATTTATTTGTTTATATGCTTCATTAAATACGTCAAGAATATTTTAAAATGAAAATTATAATGCATTTTCTTTTCTTTTATTTGTTTCATGGAACAGAAAGAAAAAGAAATAGTTTGGAGGAGAAAAATGTAAATTTTAAACATTTCTCATTTTAAATTGATTTTAACATTTCTCCTTAAAATCATTATCACTAATGTTCGGAAAATTAAACTTACAGTGTTCAAAATAGAAAATAATAAAAAATTAAAAATCTGAAAGCTTTCAGATTTTTCATTATACCCAATGGGGCTTTTTTTAACGTTTTGTGTGTTACCTTTATTTATAACATATCATGTTCTTCATACATAAACCTTAAAATTCAATTTGACAGTAGTATCGCAAAATAATTTTAAAATGAGCATATCTTTAGAATTTCCGATACACAGTCTCGCGCGCTGAAGATAATTTTTTTTTTTTTTTTTTTTCCGTATAGTGTTGCCATTCCTCGCTTTGAAATCGCTGAGTTTGTTCATCAAAAATTCTTTAAAGTGTTATAAAATACGAAATCCAAATTAGGACTTTCAGATGCCCATATTCGATGGATAGTTACGTTGTTGAAAACTGGATGGCTCTAGGTTGTTTTATCACAATGCGAGAAACATACATACATTTATGCAAATTCTTCATTATTTAATTTTTTAAATATAACACAGGCGATAATATTTGGTGGCAAAAATTTGAAAAGTGATACGCCGTTTATAGTGATTCAACGCAAAATGCCGAAACCATATTAATAGCCCTTCTGGGCTAAAATTGTGACCCCCCCCTTTCCAAAAAAAAAAAAATATGATGTGTACACCACATGACTTCCTTGTACGGAATATTAAATTATACGCATTTCTTCTTGCATTTCATTTAAACTTATTTGATTGAACTAAATCTCCTTTGTCGAGAGCGCATAAACCACAATAGAATAAATGCACTCTTTAAAATTCACTTTATTTGTTTACCATAGCGGCACTCTGGCGTTAGGTTCACTTAACAGCATTATATTTCATTCATATTATAACTCAGAATGCACAAAATTTATATCATTTGAAGAATTATCTAATCGTTGCCAAATGCTATATTCAAATACTATAACACATCTAAAACGTTGTATAAAAGAAATTAAGCAAACAAAACAAAAAAGAAACAGTTTTTCACAGACGATTCAGTATTTCTCATTCAATTAATTCAGTTCTCACTTCCCGCCAAGGCAAAAATACATAAAATCTCAAAATATCTATATTAAAAATTACGAAGTAAATCTTAAACATTCATTTTCTCGAATAAATTCCAGAATGGATTAAGCATGATTAATTCGCAGTAATGAAAGAAGGCGTTATCTTTGTTGTTGCGAAGCTTAGTCTCTCTACATTGGCAACAAATCTACTATTCTGCTGTTTCAAATGTAAACAAATATGTCCGCCATGTTATTTAAAAATTAGGCTTAACCACACTTAAACAGCTTTTAAATTGTTGATAACTCTACAAATATTGTATGCAGATTTACTAAAGGCATAAAAACCTTACCGGAAGATAAAAGCAACATAATTCAATTATTTTTAAAGCCAAAAATGCACAATTTACAAACATGTAAGAGTAAAGAAACTGAGATCACTGAGCCGGGTAATAGAATGGATATATATATACATATATTCATATACGTTTTGGTGCGGCCGATTGCAACCAAAATACGAGGTACACATCTACATGTTATAGCAGTCCTATATACAAAATTTCAACGTTCTTAGGCTACCCGTTTTTGAGTTATGCGAGATACGTACGTACGTACAGACGCCACGAAAAATTCTCTTTTGAATTCATTTTAAAGCAGTTTTATAATGCTTTTGGAGGAAAAGAGTCTTTTATTCTATGCTGCCTGAAAATTTTCTCGATTACAATACTTCCTTTTTACTTCGTACAAGGAAGTAAAAAGAAGAATCTAGTATGATAATACTTAATTAATGTTACGTGTAAATTGTCCATGAGAACCAGCCTTAATTATTTAAGATATAGGCGCACATTTGGTTTACTAGCAATCGTTTGCTTACGACCTACCCAACAAATGAAGTAAACAACAGTTTCTACTTATTCACTATTGAAGTCAGTTGCAGTTGATTTCAGTCTAAGAAAAATATGCTGGCTGGTTCAAATTTTTTAATTTTTAAACACAAAAAATTTTTTACTAAATATTGTTTTTAGAAATTATATTATACATATTTCGGTTCACAAGAGACTGCCAGAAACAGCTCACAAGAGACTACCAGAAATTCTACCTGCAACGAAAAACTGAAGAAAACTTAGCGGGGTTGACAGCCTCTGAATTTGATTCTGATATTTCTTCTTGCTTGCTTGTACAAAGTAAAGGAAGTACTGTAATTGCGAAAAATGTCGGCTGTTGTATGTCAATAGAAATGTCTATTTTGACAGTTCCCGAATCCATTTGGACGATTTGTTTTGCGTGGCATCTGTACGTACGGACAGAATAAAGGACAGTTTCTCCAAAACACATGGTAAAAGGGATTTTAAGGTGAATCAAAAGGGATTCCCCCCCTGACGTCTGTACGTACGTATGTATGTATGTCGCCTAACTAAGAGATGATTAGCCGTAGAATGTTGAAATTTTGTGCATGGGGCTACTATAACATCCAATTGTGCACAATTCTTTCTTATTGCAATCAGCATGACCAACGTGCTTACCCCGCCTTTATTTTCGCAAAGCTTCGTAGTATGTAGTTATTTATACACTTCCAGTTACACAAGTGTTTTAAATGAAGAAAATAATCATGTTTTGGCAAATAACGAAAACTAACTCTTAACGTGGTCTTCGGGTCTGATACTTGTATTTGGTGGAAAGTTTATCCTCGTTATGAAAAAATAAAATTACATGAAGTTTGACTCCTGCACCGAAAAAAATTAACCAATATGTTTAATTTCATAATTTGCTGTTTTTGACGTCATTTTGAACCCGCCTGGAGAGATCGATTAATTAAGTTAGAACAATTAGAAGTTTTAAGTTTAAATGAAGTGCAGCAAAAAATATGCATAACTTAATATGCAGTACAAGGTACATGTCGTCCACATCAGATTTTTGTACGAGGTATTCCGACAAATAACTTTTGCGAAAGCATTTAGAGGAAAAAATAAAAAATAACAAATTAGTAAGCAATTCCGACGATCCGTTGCGAACCGGCTGAATGCCATCACTGCTTGAATCAGCTTGTGTATTACGATTCATTACGAACCCAGTTCTTCACCAAAATGTAAATATCTCTACATTCACAATGACGCAATTTGTGAGGTAAGTTTTTATTACAACAACGAGAGTCATGGTTCTGAACTTATTAACATACAGATTGTTACTTTATTTAGATCATAAAGACGTAGATGCGATCAAAGAAAACATTCCGCCATATAAGCTGGTAGTGATGATTTTCTTTGTGGCTGGGCGTTAGCAAAGTTCTTCGGAGATTTTTTAATCATGGTACTTGATTCGAATCAATTTCGAATAATTTCAATTGATTTCTTTGTTGTTTTCTTGCATTAAATTCTTATTTTTGGTTTTAGATAACTAACCTAAAAACATTTAAACAAGTATTAGGTACCATATACATACACAGCAGAAATCTTATCTTGATTTGTGACTTATTATTATTATTATTATTATTATTATTAAGAGTATTGAAAGCTTTATTTTCCCTTTGCCTCATTATGGAAGCTCGTTTTGAATGCAAGTTAACAAATTTAAATCATGAGAATTTCAATTTAGTGATTCACATGCGTGCATATTTGCACATCAGTATCAGTATCAGTAGCGGGCGCAGCCCGACCCGCCTAACCAAACAAGTTGGTCTTATGGTCATGACAGGCCACGCCCATTTCAACAAAGGAAAAATATAGTATGAATATTTGCACATATATCAAGATAACTTAGCACACGAAAAAAACTTGTAATTAAGAAAGACTAAACTAAAATTCTGGAAATTGTTTACAGTATACAGCTTCGAACCTAGCGGCGCAAGCCGGAGTCTCTATTTGGGGTGGCAACTTCTGTGGATGGCAAATTAAAGTGTGGTGTTGAATTGTATTTGGAATGTTGTCTAATTTTGCTACAACAGCAGTGGAATTTTGTTACAACATTAGCAGTTTTAAGGCCAGATTTTAGAACCTCCTTTAAGAAGATTTATAATTAAACACTAAAAACTCTTTTAAGGCAACAACAAAGAATGAAGAAAACATAATAGACGATTAAGTCTGTAAATATAAAATCAGGGGCAGGGCAATAGAGGGATTCCAGGCATCACTGACAAGGTCAGTCT